TTTATTTACAGAAAGGGGGAACATTATATTTCAAATCAATAATGTATTTTAACAAACTTCTACAAATTAATGACAAGGAATCTACAAATGTGTCGTTTTACAGGATGTTTTACTAGGGGTTTGTCACACCACTTTAACGAATACGTTCCCAAATATAATCTCCATTGCATATTCAATGTAAGTTCCCTGGTAGCTACGTTCGAAATGTTGCATATTCTTATAAAGCGATATCCTTGCCCCTCATAATAGGAACCTATATTCTCTCTGAATCTATCAAGGTCGGCATCAAGGATATGTATTTTGAGAGACATCATGCACCCCATTGTGTAGTTTTTAACCAGAGTCTCTACCAAATCAACGTATTCCTCAGAATTAAGATTTCCGAGTTTGCCTTTCACTACTCTAACAAAACTGATCAATATCTCATTCTCCTGCACTCTGAGAAGCTTGGGAAACCCTTGACAGTCAATGACATTCTGATTTGAGGTCAACGAAAATGCCAGCATTAACTTTTGCTTCGGAAAGCTTTGGGAGTAAGTGTTGTAGACGGTTGAATGCTGCAGATTCGTTTTCCAATGCTGCCTCTAATTCCTTCAGCAGTCCCATTTTTATGTGTAAAGTTGAAATTAGTACCTTTTAAGAGTCTACACGTGACTTTCATTTAATATTGTGATCCACACAGTTAACTCTGAACATTTTAGTCAATATCATTTATGAGAGTGTGCTTTAGTATTATTAGTATCAGATTTATGAAACAGATAGTAATTTGTCTTCAAATAATATTTTTTTATTCATTTTGACTCAGAACATATTTTACATAATGACATACACCTACGAAGTTCTACACATTTACTATAGAAGAATGATCAATTCATGTGATAATACTTTACGGTAAATTATAAGACTATGGTTGTAATTATAGTTAATTGAGCATTATGATAACAGAAAATTATAATGTTTAAAGATATTTACTTAATAATTAATACATATAATTAAATAACACGAGAAGACTAATTAAAGCACTGTAACTGTTGTACTATCCTGAGTTTTTAATTTTTCTTAATACTTTAACATTCTCTAGGCGTTTTGAATAATTTTAATATCTATACAGGAAAAATATATACACTTGGGCAGCGCCATTTACAATCTCTCTCACTCCTAGAACAGAACTTGGATTACTTTCGCCCGTCCATTTCGTGTCGACGGATACAAAACTGCATTACGTAACGGGATTGGGTAAATTTTAAAATATATGACATTGACTGTATGCTCGGATTGGCGGAAAGAAATACATAACTATTGAAACTACTGGACATCTCAAAAGTACATTTTCTTCCAAAAGGTTTAAATGAAAGATTTAATAGAAAAGTTTAGAATCACCTATAGCCACATTTCTCTTCTAAATAGATTACTGTCACATCAATACATGTATAAATTACAGCAATCTTATAATGAAAATCTAACCACTCAAATTCCCCGAATTCAGACACGCCTTGGTCCATTTTTCAATTGATTCTCCTGCTGCTTTGTATACACGCATGGCTTTGTCTATAAAACCATCGTAAGATTTTTCTCTTATCTTAACCCTGCGGCATACGCGGTAATCTCTCAGATCGCCGAGTGGTTCTTCTCTTGATAGAGTGTCACAGAAATGTTTAAGAACACCTTCCTTCTCAGAACCTCTCTATCATTATTCTCAGATGTCATAGCTTCCAGTTCGTGCCAATAGGATTTATGCTGTCGTCACAAGAACAATTTCAATCAAACCGTGTGCAGCACAGCACTTCGCAAGCCGGGAAGTGCAGAACAATTTACAACTGATGTAACTTTTTAACGTATATTTTGATCTTATTATTGATAAATATTGTGGTTTACTAAAGTTGTATAATTTCGATGTTAGTAAGCAGTCGCTGCTGGTACTTTTAATTAATGGGGGGGCTGCATGTACGAGTAAAAATGGAAAATGAATTGAAATGTTCAGTACCGGTATAAGTCCACCACGAGAATTTATATTGCACTTCTTGACGAGTTAAGTTTCTAAATTTCCTTTTTTTAAATAATAAACAGAATTAACTTCGTATCCATTTTAAACAGCCTCGTGGCTACCTCATGGTGCTCGCTTTCCACTATTCGGCTCCAAGTTTGATTCCCGGTCAGGCAAGTTAATAGTCTGTGTTCCTTCCAGGGTCCCAGTATATGTTGCTGTGTTGAGTATATGTTGCGATGAGAAAATTCACTGTTCAGATTGAGGAGACTGAAATGCGGCATGGGGAAGTCTTCGTGGCAACCACACGTACCCCCTTAACTCATGGCCGCGAGGCAAGGACGTCCCTGGTAGGCCTGAGCCCGTTCACGGCCTGTCGCGCCAAGTACATACATACACACATACATTTTAAACACGAACTAAAGTGGTGCTAAAGCAGTACGCACTTTCTTGCCCGTTCTTTCACGCAAAATTCCGTGAAAAGAACTAAACTTTCCGAAAAACTGTATGTGACCTTATTTTAAAATTTATCTTTAAGGAACATTTTTCAAAAAGGAAAAATCTCTATCAATATTTTTAAATTTTGAGAATATCCCCCAAATTCATGCGAAGTACCCCCGAAAAATAAAATTGCTTCCCAAAAGTAAGTAAGCGTAAGCTACTCTAGCTCATCGAATATTCCTCGATCCGGGCTGCACCAGTTTGCATCAAGAACTACGTAACAACAGTACGGACACCTCGTTTGAAAAGCCGGACCAAGCGCTGGCCGTCATGTTGCATGAAGAACGAGAAATGTTGAGAAACATTTTGAAATAGGGGAAAAAAGTGACAATTTTCAACTGTGACCAACAAAAATTACCACGATGACGAAGTACAAAATGAAATATTTAAAAGAAATGCTTCATATATCTGTTACAGTGACTTGTAACAAGGTAATAAGTTTGATATCAGCTCCATTTAAAATATATAATGTTGTGTCGCAAGCTGGTGCCTTAAGATCATTCTCTGAAGACAGAGACGATGCGCAATAGCTCCCCCATCTCTTTCCACCATGGTTTAGTATCTAGCTCTGACCACAGACAGGCAGAAAAAAAGACGTTTAGAGGTCAATCTATTTTTTCTGAATCAAGGTATCACAAAACGTGGATTCTGACAAAGTGATAAAGGAAGTAATTTACTACGTATAGGAATAAGTCCATCTTCTTCTCTTCTACTCTTCGTTTGCTCATGTGTGAAAAACGTTTGTCCATCACTCAGAAAACGAGTTCAAGGCAAGATTTAAGAATTACACCCAAAAAATATTTTTTCTAACAGTTTTAAAATTGTTTTTATGGTATTGTAAAGTAAATAATCTCCACAAAAGTTTTAATAATTTTCAAAGTTAACTTTTGGGAAACACTTTTCCCATCCTCAGTGGATCTCTAGCAAAATGGAGAAATGAAACATTAACATAAGCTGAACACAAAACGGAGGGGGTGTACACCTTTACAGTTCCTTTACAATACCATGGATTACCACAAGATATCTGCTACCACCACGGAATTTGTTTTTTTATGAACAAAAATGGAATGGAAGTTTTATTTCGCATTCGTTTCTCCATCTTCTAAAAAGTTCTTATCAACTTTCAGATCATTTTCTCATCAGCTGAAAAACCTAAATTAATTTTCAAAAAATTGTGAACTTATTAAAACTTGAAATTTATATTTTTTGTTGTTAATTTGGCGATTTTGAGAAATCCCGAGGAAAACGTTTCTTGGCATTAATTTTTCAACCGTAGCTGGTATGAATTTCTAAAGGGTGGGACAAATGTCAAACGATAGACAAACTTATTCATATAAAAATTTCATTTTACAATTTCTTGGGCGGTCAGGTTCACACATTTTGCGACCGGTGGAATAAGTTTTTCGTCTTTTTCTATCAGGTAAAACGAGGTGAAAATAATCACGAAGTAATTAACGATGGTGAAACGATAAACAAACAAAAGCGCACTTCAAATTTTGCTACTTTTTAATATTTCAGGCAAAATTTTGTACGAGTTTTGTAAAAAAGTGAAATAGATCCGAAAAAATTATTTTTCCTCTCATTTGTGACCAGAAGCTGGTAATTTTTTTCTAACGGCTGGTCTAACACTGGACAAACGAATACACTTGAACAGTTTGGAATTTTCGATTTTTGGGAGACGTTCACAGGGGTCCGTTAGATACTTTCAGCGCCAATTGATGGCTGATGAGGAAAGAGAGTGGAAAATCCGGAATGTTAACCCAGTCTCAAGAAATAAGGAATCTAACTTGTTAGGTAAAGTCTGCGCCATTCTGTAGCATTACTAGTTTCAATTTATTTTAAATTTGTCTGAATAAGCAAACATTTTAAATTATCATTATCATGGGACTGAAATAAGAATGAAGTCCCTGAAACACTACTTGAAATTTCAAAATATTATTAACAAAAATTGAATTTGGAGCAAATATTTTTTTGAACTTTTGATTCGTTTCTCTTACAGTGATTTATTGTGTAGTAAAAATGCATATTTGTGTGTGTGTAAAAATGTTGGGGTTTAAATTATTCAACAATTTCAATGAAATGAATAATTGACAGAGAGAAATTGCATATATTTCACTCATTGCAAACAGGGTGACTTAAATATGTACAATAAAATCGGCGGCTATTTTTACCTTCTCGCCCATACGAAAGAATTTCGTACGAAGGGAAAGTTATGTAATCATGAGTCGGAACACGGCGAATGTTTAATATATAAAAACAGGTACTCGATACGTTTCAAGGCATCGAGGTGATTGACTTAATGTATTTTTTCGGCAGGTCGCCCGCCCGTTTCGCCATGAGGACCCTGTGGGTCCTTTGCGCGCTGTTGAGCGCCTCCGCGGCGACGTACGTGTTCGACCCGGAGTTCCTCCTCCCGGATCCCCCGCACGCCAACAGGGACGCGCCGACGCCGCGGGCCGTACGCCCGCCCCCGCCGCCCTGACCTGGAGGCGGGAGGGGAGGAGGCGAGGTGGAGATGGAGGGGAGGGGCGGTGGGAGGAGGAGGAGGGCGGCGCTGTGGCGCGCGGGGCGGGCTGCTGGGTCCGCGGGGCGTGCGCCGGACGCGCGCCCGCACAGATTGGGCACTCGGGCGGCCTTCGGCGCACCATCTTCTTGGGCCTGGAAGCGGTCGCGCTGCCCCCGCCGCTCGCGCCCGCGCCCAGACGCCGACGCCGCCGCCTTCGACTTCGTGGTGGTGGGCGGCGGCGCCGCGGGCTGCGTGCTCGCCAACCGCCTGTCCGAGGTGCCGCACTGGCGCGTGCTGCTGCTGGAGGCCGGCGGGGAGGAGGCGCCCATCATGGACGTGCCCTTCATCGTCGGCGCCTTCCACGACACCAACGTCAACTGGCGCTACCGCACCGTGCCCCAGCGGCACATGTGCACGCGCCTGCGCGGCCGCACCTGCGACTACCAGCAGGTGCGCTCCACCCCACACGCTCTCGGCCGCCAAACGTATCCGCACATATCATGTATGGCTGGTCGGCCGAGGTCACTATGGCTGAAGGGCAGTAGCTGCCTCGCCTCGAAGGGTCGCAGGTTCGAGACTCCCCTCGAGCTCGGATGATTGTATGTGTTCGCATTGTCCTTACGTGTTGTGTTCCCACAACAGCTCCCCTCCGGTTAAAAATCAAACACAGTGTTCGCTATATGACCAAGATGTTAAAAAGCAACCTTACAAAAAAATCGTTTATAATTTCTAAAACGTGTTATGCATATATTCCTATTCCGATGAACTACTCAATCTCAGCAAATAAACTGTGGCGTGAAGCCCCCCATGACTGCACATGTAACTTACACATTTGTATGTGCTATATAAATATTAATAATATAAAAAAAATATTTTCAAAATATCCACATCAAGCACCATCTGGCGGAGACGTTCGTAATCGTTTCTGGTGGTACCATGGAAGCGAAATCCCAGCGCATCTTTTGTGCCCACTGTTAGATTGTGCATTTCAGTGCAGTTTTTTTCGTTTTTCAACGAAACTTTCCATTGCACTTCTGAATTGGTATGAAATGTTTAAGGTGAAGGCAACGGTGATCGTGGTGAACATGACGAGATAAGGCAGAAGCGGGGTCAGACGAGGCAGCACACGGCGAGGAGTGTGAAAGGGAACAGAATGAATTTTGGTAGTTCAGCTTATGACAGAGCAAGCCAGGCGGGGGACAGTCTAATATAAGCAGAATTCATTCCTTTATCTGCCTGAATAGATGAATATTGTAAATAAACACCCGGGCAAGTGAAATCGAGTTCGGCTTTAAACTCCCCGTGCGATTTAATCACACAAGTTACTGTTAATAGGTCACTGTCATGTTCGTTTTGAGGCTTCAATAATAATATAATTTTTTTTTCAGTACATTATTAGTTTCTTTTTTCAAACTGTGGATTGTGGAAGTACTATTTATTATCTGATAAATGCCTATAAAAATAAAGATCTATCAGTTATTTAAAGTAAATTGAAATAAAGTAGCCTATTGAGTTCATTTGAAATAAAGAAGCAAGTCCTTATGACCTAACGCATAAGAAAGATGACGGGATTGCGCTGTACGACAAATAGGAAGGGCTCCAGCGGTAGGAAGGACAAGTGTCTGGAAGGGCTTGTTCTGGTTCGGCAGGGGCGAGCGCTGGGAGGGTCCACCGTCATCGACCACATGCTGAGCGTGCGCGGCAACGCCAGGGACTTCGACGCGTGGGCGGCGGAGGGTAACGCCGGCTGGGACTTCGAGTCGCTGCTGCCCTACTTCCGCAAGGTGGAGCGCATGCAGATCCCGGAGCTGCGCGACAGCCCCTTCCACGGCGCGCGAGGCCACGTCAGGGTCAACTACAGCCCCTACCAATCGGACATGAGCAAGGTACGCCCACGCGCGGGGCCTGCTTTGGCTTTCGTACGCAGGCTTAGGTGGCTCCAGCGATGTCACCGCAGGGCCCCTCACCGGGGTGGAAGCATTTTCGTCACTCGCTTGTCAGCAGTCTGGAGGAGAATGCTAGCGACCGGCTGCTCTGATGGGTAGTTTTCCGTGGTTTCTCCAATCAACACCAGGTGGATGTCGGAGCAGTACCCTATCAAACGAGCCACGGACCGCGCGCGATCTCTCCTTCCTCTTCCTTGTCCTATCTCGACCCATTACTAACACACTGTGATGTGCGTCTACAAGTAAAGAACCACAATCTTCGTCTACATGTAAACAACGCGTAGACAAGGTACATTGCGAAGACAAAGGTCATCTATGTAGACAACGGTTATCTGTGTAGACAACGGTAATCTATTTTTTTGTGGGGCAGGGGCGAATCTATGGGCGCCAGATTACGTCCGCTAATACCACATTCCTTTAAAATAATTAAAAATTAATAAATTCGTTATAATTATGACACTAAATTTATCGAACGCAATGCTACATATTGATCGGATATCTTCAAAAACGTTCTTCCATTATAAATAAAAAAATTAAATTTCAAGTTAACATTATTTTGCTTCAAAAATATGTATGGCGTTGGTGACAGTCATTACTAGAATTGTCTTACTCCGTTCTGAAATACTTATCGCGGCCGTCTCTCTTGCTGGGGGCGAAGAGGTTAGTGACATGATCAGGGATCTGCGCAATATTTCTGCACACCGGGTTAGTGACTGCACTTGAACGGAAGGAGTCGGATGCAGAGTAGTCTAATTTTTAAGTTCAAACAAATGCCAACTTGTGTCTGGTGTTGGTTACAGAGATTGCCATTGCGTCATCAGAAGTGGTATATTTTTTTGACTTATTGAATCAAAAATAACATTTTTAACTTTACATTTCAACATATTTCTACTATTACTACTTATTATAAAATGTTTTGGGTTATTTAAACGGTAAAACTAGTCTACACATATTACATTGTCTATGTAGTGTACATGTAAAGAGAGTCATGGAGACAACATGTAGATTACTTGTAGAAAACACACGTAGACATAAAATTATAGTATACGACACCACTCTGCTTACACGCGTACGCTTACTTGTAATACACAACCACACTTGTCGGAAGACCAGTCAGGCTTGCCTCGATTGGGGTGGTACCTCACTGGTGGGAGATACCCGATTGGGGAAAACCAGGTGAGCCGACGTGAAGGTCAGCACCGGATCTCACCATCCAGCGGTGGGAGATGACCGCCGCCTCTCCAATGCACAGCTCTAACCTTTCAGAACGCACGCCCTCAGAGCACGCTCTAACCTTACAGAACTCACAACACGCTCTAACCTTTCAGAACGCACACCCTCACAGCACGCTCTAACCTCACAGAACTCACGCCCTCACAGCACGCTCTAACCTTACAGAACGCACGCTCTCACAGCACGCTCTAACCTCACAAAACTCACAACACGTTCGAACCTCCCAGAACTCACGCTCTGAGCAGTGGACTCCCCTCTAACGAAGGGTTGCCGGGTGCCCGCAGGCGCTGATCCGCGCGTACGAGGAGGCCGGCGCGCAGCAGGTGGACTACAACGGCGCGTCGCAGGTGGGCGTGTCGCGCTCGCAGACTACGACGGCGAACGGCGGGCGATGGAGCGCGGCCAGGGGCTACCTGCGGCCGGCGCGCGCGCGGTCCAACCTCGTCGTGCGGCCGCGCAGCACCGCCACGCGCCTGCTCTTCGACGACGACGACGACGCCCCGCGCGTCGTGGGCGTGCAGTACGTGCACCACGGCGTGCTGCGCGAGGCGCGCGCCACCAAGGAGGTACGCACCCCCCCTACACCTGGAGACCTCCTGGCGCCCCGCGAGTACCAACAGGTTGCACCCCATCCCCCATCAGGAGACCGCCAGTTAGACCAAGTGTAATTCTGAAATTGAAACAGCTCCGCACCCTAAGAGAGAAAATCGTAGCAGAAGCGCGGCGTGATGTTACACACACACACACGGCGAGAGTCCTCCTGGCGCCCCGCGAGTACCAAGAGGTTGCACGCGCCGGAATACGGGCCACCAACGCCCCCCCTCCCCCGTGATGAGAGCGCCAGCAGGACCCAGTGTAGAGAACACCTCGTTAAATAAACTGTGTACTTTTCCGTGGTGGTAGCAGATATCTTGTGGTAATCCATAATATGGTAAAGGAAATAATCTCCACAAAAAGGTTTTCCACCTTTTGTAGAGATTATTTCCTTTACCATATTGTGTACTTTTCATTGAAGACTTCTCTACCCCATCTCTGTAGAACCGAGTTTCATGGGTCACTGAATTATCCGAAACTGTTTACTCTGTGTTTACGTGAAACGATTGATCTTTTATTATTATGTGGAGAAATGTGTCAGTTGTTATTAACGACAGGACGTCAAGAAGGTTATTTGTAATTGTCTAAATATGCAATATCATAGCACATTCAAGCCATATGTAATATTTCACGAACCCTAAACAGTTGCACCGAGCTCAATCTAAGATGTTGCCAAAACGCCACCCAGAAAATTATTACTTTACCTAAAAGCTTTACGTTGACATAAAAATAGAGTAGTTCCTCCTTCAGCTGCTACTTCTACTACCTCTGCTGTCACTGCCGCTTCCACTACTTCCCTGAGGAAATGATGCAGTACAAACACGGTCTCTTCGTCGCCCTTTCCAGCCGAAGGAACAAAAACAAGTTCTTTCGGTGTGAGGTCGGGGTTGTAGGCCGTTGTGGAGGCGTGGCCTCACCGATGTCCGCGTCAATGAAACCGATGTGGTCCGGTGCGTTGCCTTGGCGAAGCTTCCTCGAAGCGCTGATTGCCGTTCGGGCGCGAGTGACCCTGCTGTTCAGACTCTGAAGCACTTGGTTGTAGAACTAGGCGTCTACGGTGTGTCCAGGAGGCACGAACTCATTGTGCAGTCCCCTATGTGTCAAAAAAGGCCCTGAGCAAGACTTTCACGCGAGATTGAATCTGTCAAAATCACGAGTTTTATTTTCTTTACAGTATACATGATTTTTCATTAATTGTTTGTTAATTCGTTCAATTTTACTTTGAGAAGTGAGTAATGTTAGTTTTTTGACCTCGGCAGTGTTTTCTAAAAGTCATACTCATTTGCATAACATGAGTATATCATATATATCGCATTGGTAGTATTTGGAGTTACTTTTAGAACACACCATTAAAAATTAGTCATCTTTTGGAAGTGCAATTTCACTACCAGCATTTTCCGTTAAGGCAAAAGGAATAACTTTGCATATGTAAGTATTCCTGTGGTAATCTTTTTATGGGCGGATATTTAAGAGGAGGAAGGAGAGTGAAAATTATTTCATCGCTTAAAGTTTTACTTCCACCTGTTGTAGTCATAAGAATAGTCATAACTAACTTTTAAATATTAAGATATAACTCATTATTACGTAAAGTATACGTTTTTACATAAATACTATTATTAATGTTCACAATCAAAAAAATGAAGCAAATCAAACTTTACATATGGTCACTATCTCAAAAAAAATTCTAATACAATTATTTTAATGCAAATTCAAACATTCTGCTTGGAATGTTAATTTTTTTTATTGGGCAGAGTTGGTCGGTTTTACATCCATGTAACGTCGGATGTTTGTAAGAAGCAACTGGCAACCATGGCCTCTCTTTTCCTTCGAGAGAATGTGCCTGCGACAGATTCACAACTGATGCAAAAGACATCCCATTCACAATATACTCGCATTCCCGCGTCATTCGTGTCTACACTTATTTCACAAGCCTCTCGTAAATTTTATTTTCTCCTCTCGGCAGTCCCAGCAGTCTAATTCGGATATTCAATCTCGATCAAAACGCACATAATACTTCGCGCAATAGATGCAGATTTTCTAACGATCTCTTTCACACACTGTAATTATTAAATCGTGTGCCCTCTTTTCCCCCAAACACCTTGCCTCTACCTCAAATAATAATTGTGAACTTCCCATAGTAAATTTATATGAATATGAAATTTTAATAATAGTGAAATATGGTTATATTGAGTCCCGTATTTGCCATATATAGCCAAATAAACTCATTGAATGTAACATTGTACCCGTCAAAACCCTTAAAAGACGAAAGTCGAACGGAAAGAAAAAAATATCGAGTAGTGCTAGACCACGTAGTCTCTCCCACAGGTGAGAGCCTTTATCTGTCTTGCCCTCGCTTCGTTGGAAACCGGTTTTATTTTCAAGATAAGCGCCCACACTTGCGTTTCCCAATAGTAGATGACATAGAAATGACCTATTATCATCGCGGAAAGATGTTCCTATTGAATACGTACCGAGTTATGTGTAATAATACTTTGCATTTCTTTGCAGATTGCACAAATTACTGGTGCAAATGGCTAGTTACTTTTTTAGGTCGACTCTGTTTAGTTTCCTTAGCGTTTCATACATCGATGCATTTGGTTTTCTGAATAATTTCTAAAGCCAATTCCTGATTACCTAGTTCAGTTTTACGATCGATACAATTCTGAGACAGGTGCCTTTCTCGTTTACAGATGTAGATACAGATTATTCAGCAGTGTCATGTTCAATATGTTCCTAGATAAATATTTGTATTTTTCCTTACACTGATTAACCGGATATTTCTGTTTTTACGGAGGTGGGAATAAGAATAAAGGATATACCATTTCGAAGAAAATATAATTCAGAGATAATTTTGCGAATTCAAGAAAATTGATAATATTTTTAACAAATGTTTCATTGCGTTAAAAAAACGTTCATTAATAAAGTACTCTTGCATTTTTGGAAAAAAACTTATTGCAGGGGTGCAATCATTAAATCTTGGTTTATAAGCAACGGAAAAGGTTCAAAATAGAATTTGTGCAATCAACTCCAATTTCAACATTAAAATTATCTGTCGACATAGTCGAAAATTGATTCCTATTTTAGTGTGCGGTTGTTTCCTTTTTCTAAAATCGGATAAATTATCGATCAGTAAAATGTTTACATAAATTAATATTTTTTATATTATTTCTTACGTAAATAATTTCTTTATAGATTATTACAGCTTTACTTATTACGTCAACTTTCATAATGTTTGTTCTTATGGCCAGAATAAATGCTATAAAGCTGAAAAATAGCAGTTTGATCGACTCTTTATAGATGAACTTATCTAGGATAAAAGAAGACAGATAACAATACCAATGTTTCATTAAAGTGCTAACACTGATTATATGTTATGATCGGTCTTTTTCCTATGACTATCCCCTTTTCTACTGTCTACTTTAGTAATTTTTTTGTTCATCATACAAATTTTCCCGATATATTTGTTATCAAGTACGAAAATAAGAGTAACTAGTGGTGCTAAAACACCACATACTTTCTCGCCCGTATTCTCACACTAAATTATGCGAAAAATACTCAAATTTCAAAATTGTAACCTTATTTCAATATATATTAAAGAAACAGATTTCGTAAAGAGAAAAATCTCTGTATTTATAATTTGTAACTGCAGGAAGACGCCATTTTTTTGTTGCAATTTTTAAAAAATGGCCAGTTTTTAACATTAATTTCCATGATGATCATTCTCTTGAACGTCCTTCACACTATCCAACAACGAAATTTAATTAAAAACGATTGAGCCTTTTTAATATGAAAATGTCTCAGGTGCTTCGTGTAGAGTATCCCCAAAATTAAAAATATGGGCTTCAAATTCAAGGGGCCGCGATATCAGCCAGATCGATTGGAGAATATCAATTTTGAGAAAATCGGCTAAACGGTATAGCTGCTACCGTTGTTCTCAGACGGACACATATTTTGCTGTCAATTGGTTTTTCGGAAACAAGGGCCTACAAAACGTGGATTCTGCTTACACCCCGTGTTAGAAATTTTTTTCTAAATTTATCAACTGGATTCATCCACATTTTCGTTATCAGGACCCTGTAATTACATTCTCTAGTAACGCCTTACATTCTCTAGTAACAAGCGTCCCGTCACCAGGTGATCGTGACGGCCGGCGCCATCAACTCCGCCAAGCTGCTCATGCTGTCGGGCATCGGGCCGCGCGAGCTGCTCGAGTCGCTGCACATCCCGGTGGTGAGCGACTTGCTGGTGGGCTACAACCTGCAGGACCACGTGGCCTTCCCCGTGCACTTGGTGCTCAAGCACAACGAGAGCGTGGCGCCCACCGCGCTGGACATCCTGACGGACGCCAGGACGTACACGTCCTTCTTGGTGGACCGCGCCGGCCCGCTCACCACGCCCGCCGGCCTGGAAACGCTCTTCTTCTCCGAGCTGCCCGACACGCCCTTCTACTCGCCCGACTGGCCGCCCGTCCAGGTGAGCGGGGACACGCCCATACTCAAAACACTTCCACCTATGATATATATAATCCGAAAAAAAGAACCGTTGGAGTATTCCAGATCCATGATACTGTAACAAGGAAACTTGTTACAGAATCATTGATCTGGTATACCCCAACAGTAAAAAGAACCGTTGGCGTATTGCAGATCCATGATACTGTAACAAGGAAACTTGTTACAGAATCATTGATCTGGTATACCCCAACAGTTCTTTTTATTCGGTTCGCGTTTTTAGCCCTAGAACTGCACACTGGGCTCTACCGGACGTAATGCTGAACAAATTATGCTATTGGTGCCACTATTTATTTATTTATTTGTTTATTTATTTATTTATTTGTTTATTTATTTATTTATTATTTATTTTTATTTATTTTTTATTTGTTTTTTATTTATTTAAAATCAAAAACAGTTAAAAACTGTGTGTGACGTGCTATGGGGAGCAATTAATTTTAAGTTACATCTATGTCCAGAAACAAAACAAGGGGCCATCTCAGCATTTGCTCGAGGATCAGGGAAACTGGACGAAAAGCAGATCGAGATGAGGGTTTCTCGTGGCGTATGGGATAAAACCACCCTAACTTAAAACGTTTTACCGCACACAAGTACAAACTATTTGACGATAAATCACGTCGAATGTAAACGATGTGGACTAATATTCAACATAGAAAGAAAGCAAAGTATGAACGCTGAAGTCAACCTAGCCAGCATTAGGTATTGCCAACTGATGAAAGTGAAAAATAATGCTAGGACTAAAGTTTTTAGTAAACATTGTTTTTCACAGAGCAATTCTTCAATACTTGACTTTTAACTATTTACAAATAATTATTTAAATGATCCTTCCACGTTTACAAGCAGTTTTTCTTAATCCACAGATATATTGAATGGCCGGGTGTTTGTCTAGCGACTGGCACAAACATACCAACCTACTCAATATTTTCAGGTTTCCAATTTTCTAAATGTAAATATGTTGTGCTATTCTTTTCAGCTTTTCAACAGTTATTTTGCCCAGGGGAATTGCAGGTTGTGAGCTAGTTTACTATTGATAAAGCCAGTTCATACTGGAGAGGAGGCGGAGGGGACCTGTGTAAAGCCTCGTTCACAATGCAAACTCAAACGTAACGCAATGCCGTAAACCTAGCAGTAAAATGTTCACGTAAAAACAAACATTCACAATGATTAACGTAAGTTGGAATGTTTTGCCTGAACCAATCAAATTTCAACGTATTGAAGCCTGATCCATTTGTTTGTAACATGGAGAAAACATTGTCTCTCCATGGTTTCTAGCTTTGTTCGATTTTCCTATATATTTGTCTTTATATATAAATGGGAGTAGTTTTTGTATTAGTGCTGGCATTGTCTTTATTTTATAAACAAGGATTCTCTTGTACAAAATTCAGGAACGTAATTATTTTATTCCCGTTAAGATAAAGTCACATGAAAAATGACCCAAATTCTTCCTTTGAATTCACTACTCGCATCAAACCTGTTCGCAAACTAGTTAACAACATTTCAGTAATGAAATATTAAACCACACAATCTGAAATCTTCATATTTATTACCTTAACACAATCTGAAATCTTCATATTTATCTTTCCTGCTACTCTCTGACTGATCTTTGGAAGAATTCCAACATAAAGTTAACGTAAAAACTTGGTGCTCGTAAAATTAGTACGGAATTAGTTCAGGTTTTTGAGCGCGTTTATCTCTCTGCAATGAATGGTGAAAGTCAACGGTTACATCAAGGCATCCTGAACGGTCTTGCTTAATAACCCATTCCTAGACTTTGCCTCACGAACAAGGTGCAAAGGCCCATTCGCAATGCAAGCGTAAGCATGGCGATAACATAAAAATTACGACGTCTATAAGCGGACTCTTTCACAATGCGTTCGCATAAGCATAACACGCAATACGTTAAGTCCAAAGCTTGCAATCTTCAAGCTTCTGTGTTTATGCGTAAGTAAAACATAAGAAATGAAGCAATCACAGTACGTTAACTCAAAATCGAGAATCGAAAGAGGAGCGAAGTCGATAGACTAACTAACGCCGTATGCGCCATGGGGAAAGTCGATACCTGAAACCAATTCTCACATCCAACCAATAATAAACTAGAATGTTTCACAGCCAATAGAAACTCTTATTTGGCTTACGTTTATATTAGACCTTCTGAATACTTCAGTCTACCACTCACGTTAATGTTTACGGCTTTGCGCTATGCGTATGTTTCCGTTTGCACTGTGAATACTTCAGTCTCTCATTAATGCTAATGTTTACGTCTAAGCGTTACGCTTATGTTTCCGTTTGCATTGTGAATACTTCAGTCTCCCACTTATGCTAATGTTTTCGCCTAAGCGTTACGCTTATGTTTCCGTTCGCATTGTGAATACTTCAGTCTCCCACTTCTGCTAATGTTTACGCCTAAGCGTTACGCTTATGTCGCGCGCAGGTGGTGCACCAGTCGTTCGCGGCGCTGGCGCTGCCGATGGTGGCGCGCCACGCGGGCGTGCGCCACCGCGACTACCAGCGCGCCTTGCGGCCGCTGCTGCGCCGCGCCGCGTGGACGGCGACGGTGCTGCCGCTGCGGCCGCGCAGCCGGGGCCGCGTGTGGCTGCGCAGCGCCGACCCGCGGGCGCCGCCCTGCGTCGACCCGCGCGGCCTCGCGCACCCGCGCGACCGCCACGAGATGCTCGCGGCCGTCAAGGAGGTAATGCGCAATGAGCGCGCGCAAAAACACGAAATAAACGTGTAACAACAACCGAAAGTATGTGTAATAAATATGTTACTAATTGTAAGTCACATTTACATCATACAAAATTTCATTTTTTTTAGATGTCCTAAACAAATTTTAAACACAATACAAACGTCTTAAAAAATTATTTCGAGAAAAATATCTTGTATGAAACGTCAATATATGAAATATCAAGGGTAAGGTTCGAGTCACGCCTAGGGCAAGATTGCATTTGTGTTCGTTCTTTCACCCCTATCATCACCATATCATGTCATCCTCACAGTTACCATACTGTTTAATACAATAGTGGTCGCTAATGACCCAGATGTTGATGCGACCTTAAATAACAAAAAAATAAACAATTTTAATGTGACCTTTTTAAGCTATATACAAAATTGAAACCTTCAATATTCAATCGCCGGTGGCCTTCCTTAACAATGCTCTCAAAATAATCTCCTTTGGAAATGCTCTCCAAATGGTCTCCCTTGAATGACGAACTTGTCTATTCCTCTGCTGCTAACTGATTGCGCAATCGTTTGTGCGCCCGCAGCTGCTGACCTTGCTGGAGACGGGCACCATGTGGGAGCTGGGCGCCACCCTGTACCGGCGGCGCTACCCGGGCTGCGAGCGCTACCCGTTCGCCTCGGACGACTACTGGCTGTGCTCGATGCGCGGCTACGCGTCCGCCGCCGCCCACCCGGTGGGCACGGCCAAGATGGGGCCTGCGGACGACCCCTCGGCCGTCGTCTCCTCCGGCGATCTGCGCGTGCGCGGCGTGGCCGGCCTGCGCGTCGCCGACGCCTCCGTCATCCCCGCGCTCGTCTCGGGCCACACGCTCATGGCCACCTACGCGGTGGCCGAGAAGGCGGCCGACCTCGTCAAGGCCCACTACGACGAGCTCGCCTACATACGCGACGAGGACACGTGCGACGACGTCAAGCCGACACTTGCAGCGGAGAAGCCGTCTCACCACCACGTCAGTCATCATG